GAGTTAATATGTTGTGGCCACAAAACTAGCCTAAGTGAACCGAACATGTCCGCTCCGGTCACCGTAAATGCTTCGTTCGACTTTTCGGAGATCATCTACTCTTCCCTGTGGATAACCTCTGACCTACTTTCTCTACGATCTGAATTTATGTATATTGAATTTTGAATATTAAATTTGATGTTCCAAATTTCTTCATCGTGAAAACTTGAAGCTGTATTTTTAAAAACTGGATATTTGCAGTCTATCACTTCAGAACAAAAAAATCTGCCTTTTGAAAATACTGGGAAAAAAAACTGCCATAAAAAAAATTCAGTTGTGTTAAATTTCAAATGTTCAATATTCAAGTAAAAAAAAATCTAATTCAGAACTATATTAAATGTCACATAAAATTCAGTTTTGTTAAATGACACTTGTCAATAATTCAAAATTACACAATTCAAATAGTTTTGACATATTATGAGGTCCATATAAACACAAGTCCTTAACATCAAGGACTGAAATATACTGCTTTTACGAAGAACTTCACAGGCCCAACAAAATGCTAAATTATTAGCATTATGTAGATGCAGAAGAGAGCGCAAGCTAAATGTTATATTATTAGCCATATTACAAAGTGAGATAAATGTGTGCTAGAATACTGGAGAGTTTGACTGGACTAATGGACTTCATCAACACAAAATGAAGGAAGCGTTTCCTGCTCCATCGTAAAAGATAAGCCTGTCTGTTTACTCTGTCAACCAAACTATATGTGATTAGTTTCATTTATTATTTGCTTATAGCATCAATTTCCAGAACAGACTAGCAACCCACCAGCTGAAAACCACTGAAAAAGGGACACGTTTTCACAATCCAATCATTTCCAGATAAATAAAATCAGGTCCTGACTCCTGTCTAACATTTTTGTCTTGTTCACTCTGAAACTTCATTTTAAAGAGCCAAACAAGTCTGTGCCTGTACCGTGGGACAGTATTAGAGGACAATACTATGATACTGAAAATGACCATTTTCAAGCACAATGGTATTTACACAGCACTTAAAGGGGGCATATGATGCGATTTAAATTTTTCCTTTCTCTTTGGAGTGTTACAAGCTCTTGGTGCATAAATAAGCTGCAAAGACTAAAGTCTCAAATCCAAAGAGATATTCTTTATAAAAGTTAAGAGTCAACCACGCCTACCTAAAATGGCTCGTCACGATGTGGGAAGATTAGCCGCCCAAATGTTTACGCAAAGAAAGAAGGCGTAACTTTTATTCTCGCTGTAGTGTTGTTGTTGCTGCCGCCATGTCGTGAAAGCGCTGTGTGCTTCGATGTGAAAGCCAAACTACTTTGTTTGGTCTTCCAAAAGAGAACACGACTAGAAATCAGTGGTTAAGTTGTATTTACAACACTGTTCCAGAACAGTTCAACCCAAATATTCAGACGTGTGCAGCGCATTTTATGGAGGACTGTTTCCTGATCCTGGTAGAGTAGATTACAATGCCGGCTGTTCTGACTCACAGACTGTAAAGGCCCGTTCACACCAAGCATGATATCTATAAAGATAACGATAGCGATATAGTTCTAAAAATCGTTCTCAATATTAAAGAATAGCATAGTTCACACCACAACTATAACGATAACGATACAGAGGAACGATATCATTGTGATCACTTTTAAAACGATTTTTTTCCAGCTGATGAACGATAAAACACTGACAGCTGATCAGAATCCATCCTGCTGTAACGAGCTCAAGAATTTAAAGCGGCAGACGCATGTGCGCTTAGAATAAACAGACGATATCGTTCGCTGGTGTGGACGCTAATATCGTTATCTTTATAGTTATCGTTCTTGGTGTGAACGGGGCTTTAGTATGTTTTTTATATTGAAAGAATTTGCCACTGATGATTCAAACGCGAGTTTTGAGCAGTGTAGAGTAGGGCTTGTTGTTTGTCATTTCTCCGATCACAAATGCAGACATGGTTTTATGTTTACGCGGCGCGATGCAACGCGTAAAAATACAGTATAAGTCATTATAATCCGTAATTATGTCCCCACTGGATGCAACAAATGCCTCGTTTATAATGGGTTTTAATGTTTTTGTCTCGTCGCTCCAGCTGGACAGGGCATCACAATATGGTAAAGGGGCGTAACATTTCCGTCACACGCTTGAGGTATTCGGCCAATCACATAGCTGGCCAATCAGAGCACACCTCGCTTTTCAGACCGATTTGTATCTAGATATGTGGAAAATAGTGTTTTTTTTAACCTTAAACCGCATAAACACATTTCATTACATCAAATACACAAAATAATGTTCTTTTTACCAACATCATATGACCCCTTTAAAAGAAAATCCTGTCAAAAAAATGGTAACATAGGTACATTTTGTTTGCATTATTTTTTCCTTGTTTGATAAGATACAAATATCTAAAGCATACGGTTTCTTTAAAAGCAAAATACAAACAAAAACAAGCTACAAGTTACAAGAACGAACGTAATATATTTAAAAATCTATTCATTTCAACAATTACAAGACCATTCAAATGCAAACTGCATTTATTTTACCCGCTAAAACACAATTGTCAGTATTTTAATTACTAAAAGAGACATAACGTTCACACAAGTTATACATTATAAGGACTAGTTTAGGGCTGTGTCAAGGCCCAGTGTTTCAAAATGGTGCGCAAGTAGCATTTAGCCTGCTAGCCTTACAGTTACCATAACAGTCCAAGCCTTCATTAACTGACAACGCAGCTGCATCTACTGAACCTCACGAAAGAAATACATATCAATTTTGCGGACTATAACGAGAACATATGTCTAAAAATGAACGATATTTATTTTTCTCCGCTTGCGATCTGTGGGCACAAAATGGCTTTTTCTTTTTTTTTTCTAGCTTCACTCTTATTGCGAGCAAAATGACAACGCGGGGTTTGGTTAGTCTGTTTACTGTAGTCATTTATGAACAGTTTGCGTCTGTGTGCGAGACTTTGCTTCGGTTAGATAACTTAGTAGGGAAATGATTATCGCGTATGATCGGCAGGAAACTCCATTTTGAGAATTGCTTACCTTAGCAAGCTAGCTGGCTAATTTACAGCGCATCGACGTATTTAATTGTCTAATTAACGCTCGACACTTCTGTTATTCATTACTCCCGGAAATAACACTGCAGTTTTAAAATGCGGTGCCTTAGTAGTAATACGATACGAAATATTACACAAACCTGCAGGCAGTCCTTCCGTCACACCAATATTCGGCCGAAAATTTTGCGCCTTCTACCTTGATTTCATTGTAGGCTTACGTGCATTTTTTTTTTAGCTCTGTGATTGGATAAACAGGAAATCAAACGCGCGGCTGTATTGGTTAAAATGACTGTCAATATAAAATCTAAGAATCTAATTGGGTGAAGGGGCTGTCAGCTAAGTAAAGTTGTCCCGCCCCTTAGCATTCACTTATATTATAGGTTATCGTCATAGCAACTGAGAAGCGCTGTGTTATCTAGCGTTTGATAGCTTGGCTTCATATACCATAAATACAAAGAGATTTGATTTTATCACCGTTTGTAGTGACAGATTTACAGTCGATAATGGTGCAGCCTCTCATGTTTAGTTCGCACTGCGTTCAAAAAAAACCCAGTCAAACTGACATTAACGGATAGGAATTCAGGACTAATCCTATCTAATACAGACAGTTGCCTGTTTTGAGATCAACCGGCTTGTTTATTAATGGGAGTATAATCTTTCGTGTAAGAGGACAATCAAATAACAGTGAATTCCGTGATTGCTTGCTCACGTTGACCGTGATAAAGATGTGTAGCCTTTGCCGTCCTCTCCTGGTAGAAATATAACAGTTAATCACATTTCTCATCGTTTGGCTTGTGCTGTAGTGAGTTCCTAAACCAAGGCAGTGTACTCATATGCTGCAATAAAATCTAAATGTTTATATAACGCGTGGCATCTAGCGCAGATGGGCTCTAACTTCTCTCAAATGTGAGATTCAAAGGCGCATCCATCGCCGTTCCCTTCAAACAGACCGAGAACTCGCTAAACATCCTAAAGTAATATTTAGATTATTAGCAATATCATCGTGTCTCCCTTCACATAGACTACACTGCGACTGGAATGCGAGACTGACATAACCAGTAAAAAAAACAACAAAAAAAACATCCAGGCATTTTTGTTTAGTAATTCTTTTTCTAGATGCAGCCCATCTTTGTGCGTCAAACAGCACGTCACACTCCGGGAATGTTGTATTGTTGAAAAGAGCACGATGGAAAAGCAACACAGATTGAAGTGAAAAGAAAAAAGAAAAACAATCCCCATCCCTGCCAACATAGGACATCTCCCAAAGATCGCCCCATTGACAGCACAGGTGATCGATCATTACCGCTGAGAGCATCTTTAACGTCCCCCTCCACATGTAATTACAGGATGGCTGAGGGAGATGCTCGCAGGTACGCGCTGCTGCCTCTTCACACGCGCGCAGACTCAGACGCACACGCGCACCGTCTCGCTTGTTTTCTTCCCCAGCGCTGGATGTGAGACGTCAGCGTCACCACCGCAGCCCGTAGACACACACAGCCTGCGGCCACACGTTTTACCACCGCGTCTGGAAGAGGCGAAGCCCGGACAGCGCAACATATTGGCACGCGAACTGCGTAATGTTGTCTTGCGCCACTCCATGACAGTCTCGCGTCGCGCACACCGTCTTTGCGCATCCCACAGCAGCGGCGTTCTTCTCATCTCGGAATTGCTGGAAATACTATAAGACATTACACGACGCTGAATGCACCGCGCTAGACCTGCCATGGCCGCAGGGGTTCAAGGAATGGCTCGCTGGGGGTTGTGTGGGGTTTTATTCGGGCTGCTGAGGCTCAGCTCGGCGTGTCCTGTGTCGTGCTTTTGCACTGCCTCGAGGATCTCGTGTATCGAGCAAGAACCAGGCATCGAGGATTTCCCTGTCTTGGTGCCGGAGTCTGACATGGAAAACATCACGGACATGTAAGTGGAGTGTTCAGGGATGCGTGAGGGGGGAAAAACAAAACAAGCGCGTGTGTTTGTGAGCGTGAGTGCGCGCGTGAGGAGTGTGTGGGTAGATTCCTCAATTCGTCGAGGGCATGACAATGCAACAGACATTATGTGTCGTGTGTGTGAGAGAGAGGATGAGAGCGGTTGTAAGGGGTGGGGGCCACGGTACATAAGCAGTAAGTTGCCATCTAAAGGGTCTTTTTTGTGAAAATGGTCACTCGGAGAAGATTTTTGTGCGGCTGCTGACTCACCTCAGCTGACTTTCTGCTACCAGAACAGGAAAAAAAAATAGACAACACTATCGGCTTACACTCAAATGTATAAATTGACCACATAACGCGATTAGATGCATATCGGTGAAGAGACAGCGTCCGCTTCGTAGTGATGTATCAGTGGTGAGCTGATCCGCTCGAGTGCCTGCATTAAGCAGCACTGAGAGACCGTCAAATGGCTTGGTCTTGGGGGGGGGAGTGCTTTTGGGCCTATCATGAGGGATACGCTAATAAACTGCTGTTATTTACTAATGCCATTATGTTTTACGCGCACATTATTTCATGAATTGTTGTGTATAGGTGAGTTGGGGAGTAGTCTAACGTGTCCGCAGAGCAATAGGCATCGGCGCCTACGCAAATATGTCACTCCGTTTCCACGACAACGGCTCACAGGACCCACTCCAGGCATGTGCGCGCTGTAGTGCAATCATGGCTTTTTCACGCGCACCTTTATTAACGTGTTCACATGGTGACGGTTCGATAAAGGAATTTCGAATTACGGCGCGTCTGTTTTAGCCTTCGCTGAAAATACGGTGTATTTGACATTGAGTGATATTCCAGTTTTGGTCTTATCATTGTTTTCGCGTGCCGGTGCGATTTGGTTTGATTTGATTTGTTAGGCGCGTGCCTAGTTCAATTGTAAGTTCACATATAATAATACTGGAACTCTAGATAGAAAGTGCTTTGAAAGCATCATTTGAAGTACTTTGGACTAGCCTACTATGTAAATGCTGTGGTACATGAATGTAAATGCCATGCTGTACTTTTCTGTAAGGGCAAGTTTTGTTTTGGACAAGGTACCATGCAGTGTTGCCAACTTAGCAATTTTGTTGCTAAATTTAGCAATGTTTCAGACTATCCTAGCAACTATTTCTTCCCAAAGCACCTAGCAACAAATTTAGCTATTTAAAAAATGTATTTGGCAACTTTTAGCAACTTTTGATAAGTGACACAAACGATAAAAAGGCACAATTTACCATTTCAATTACACAAAAAGAGGAAACCAAAGATGCCTAGCAGTACACACATCACAGGAATTAAGTTCGCTGCTATTTGCAATTGTTTAATTTAGTAGTAATAATAATAATAATAATTGAATACTGTTATTTTTCATTTATGAGACACTTTGTTAGTAGCTTGTACGTGCGATTGTTGATGAGTTAGTACACTGTAAGAAAAATATGCAGAAAAATGGAAAAGGTGCTAGTAATTTTCCAGGACATTATGTGTTATCCGTTGTGACCCAAACACACAAAATACAATGCGTAATTAAAAATGCAGGTAGAAACACCTGTGGAAAAATCAATCCAGAAAATTCCTTCATATTAACATAGTAGATTGTGCATTATTTTTTACAGACTTTTCTTAGAGTGTAGCATACTAACTACTAATACACTGCTTTAAAGTATAATTGATCAGAATGAGTAGTTTTACTTGTTTACTAGCTAATACAATTTTTTTTTTTAAATTGTAATCGTTCAAAAATGTGTACGTTTTCGATAATTCGATGTATTTAAAAATTGTTATTTATATTTTAATATTATATTATGCATTTATATTGTTACGAACAAATCTAAATGAACATATATAAAATATATGTTTTTGTTGCGATTTGAAACAATTTTGCGTTGTGATTACGTAATGACATCATCACGCAATGACATCACCACGCAATGACATCACAACATCATTTAGCAACTTTTAGCAACAACTCAACCTTCCTTTAGCAACTTCCCCTGAAAATGAGTTGGCAACACTGGTACCATGTAGGTACAATACCGTTTAAAATTTTGGATCACAATTTTTGGGACCCAATCAATTCCTTTTATTCAGCAAGGACGCATGAAATTGATCAAAAGTGAGAATACAAACGTTCACATTGTGACTTTCTATTCTTTGAACTTTCTATCCAGAAAATATGTATCACGGTTATATTAAGCAGCACAACTGTGTTCAACATTTACTATAGTAGTAATAACAAATATATCTTGAGCACCAGTTTAGCAAATTGGAATGATTTCTGAAGGATCGTGTTCAGCTTTGCCTTCCCAGAAATAGATAAAATGTTCAATGATTATTATGTTATTTTAAATTGTAATAATATTTCACAACATTGCTGTTTTTACTGTATAGATTTGATAGAGTAAACGCAGCATTGCTGAGCTTGAGACTTCTTGCAAAACATCAAAATATCTCACAGACCCCAAACTTTGATGGTAGTTTATCACAGTACTATGGTGCTACCGTGTTTATGTGCCTACTCTGCCTAATCATTCCTTTCCATTCCACAGATACATCTCAAATCAAAAAAGGCTACTTACAATCAATGAGGACCATATGAAGTTCTACTCAAATCTCAGGAATTTGTGAGTATCTGATGTTGTAAGGTCATGCAAAATGCTAATGAAACTTTATGAAACAGCAGAACTTATTTAAGCATATACTGTCTCACACAGAACAGTGACCAATACTCACCTGACATATATATCTACGATGGCCTTCTTCAACAATTCCAAACTTCAATATCTGTGAGTCTTTTTCAATATATTATTTAATTAAATGTATGGCAGATTAAGCAAATACATTTCAAACTAATGTTCTATACTGTTATTCTTTAATTAATCGAGTCTTCTTCTGTTCTCTATCTATAGGAATCTCAGAGACAATAACTTATCAACACTCTCTTGGAGAGCACTTCGTAATTCCAATTTGTCGACTTTGTAAGATCTTGTTTCAATAAAAATATGTACGAAACTGTACAGTGCTCTGTTTGTACAGCATACAAAGAAAGCATCTTTCTGTTCCTGAAGTCTGTTTGGGTTTGCTTTAGGTTGCTCTCCGGGAACCCTTTACAATGTGAATGTAAGAACATCTGGATCAAAGTCTGGTTGGATGACAGTGAGAGAGACGGCCTGCAGTGTCTACAGGAAGGAGGAAGTGCAAAAGCCCTCTCTAGACTCACTCTTAATTCATGTGGTAATGAAACTTAAACTATATGATGTTTAATGCAGCTCTAAGTCACACAGTTTGCGGTAAGATGTATTAAAATAATTGTTCCCACAAACCTGAAAATTCTGCCATTATTTCAGAGTATCCACGTGTCGAGGTTATCCCTGCTGTTGTCAATCAAATGGCAGGAAGTGATGCTACAGTGATGTGTAGTGTGTCTGGAGCCCCGACCCCTGAGCTCTCCTGGAGCTTAAACTCCAGCGATCCTCCTCTCTCAACCAGCCATGAGGTAACACCCTGTTTGCCTTTTAAGTAGAAAGCTAGTTCAGAATAGCATACTAGCATAGTGCTCTTACTGTTTCTGCAGTATGTATATTGCGTGAATGCAAATTGTCTGTAGCTTAAGAACACGTGGTTGATCTGCTACATTTGCAAAATTCTTTGTTACCGTCCACCACTAATCACACAACTCACCCAAAAATAAAATGTATAATCGTTGGCCCCCTTCCCAATTTCTTATTTTTTTGCGTGTTTGTCACACTTTAATGTTTCAGATCATCAAACAATGTTTACTTGTGTTATCTTTGACTAATATTTAAATTTGTTTGATGATCTGAAACATTAAAGTGTGACAAACATGCAAAAAAATAAGAAATCAGGAAGGGGGCCAACAATTTTTCACACCACTGTATATAATCATGAATCAGTAGGACATCAAAGGCTGTGTGTCCAATGAAGCTTATTGTATTTTAGTTCAAACCCATCTGTCGCTTGATAGAAGCAATCCAAATTTGGCAGATTCCAACATGGACAGGTTGTGTGACATCCTCATCTTTGAATACAATGAATGAAGACTATTCAAGTTGAAACAGCTAAAAACCACACATATAGAGGATGCTTTTTATTTCACGTATCACAGTTTATCAACTAATAAAAGCCCAAAGATTTTCTCTCCAACAAAAGTGATAGTTTTCCAGAGTGTGTAGTGCCTTAGGAGCATGATGCATTTTCAGATAAACATGTAAAAGTCAGCCAGTTTCTTAATTATTTATATAAAAAGTAACAATGTAGCATAATTAGATTAACAAAAAATAAACACTTTTTGGGAGTTATGCAATAGTGTAACAAGTTACTTGGTAATCTGTCCCAACACAGCTGATGACCATGTATCTGAAGTTTAGAACATGTCGTTATGTTCCCATGTATAATATAATCCCAGGTTACTGAATTTAACAAATCTGGTTTGTATTTAACAACATTATCATGAAAATATAGAACTTTGCTATCATACATGAACAATTACAAATAAAATATATTATTGTTGAATGTAGGTTTTCATCAGACATTATTATGACTTTCCACATTTTAGAATAATAGTAAAGTCATCAAAACTAAGAAATAATACAGATGGAAGCATGGGAATTATGTAGTGAAAATTTTTAAATCAAAACTAACTTGTATTTGAGCTTAAAAGTCACCACCCAACTGTATACAGCTCTGCACACTCTGGGCTTCCCTCAACCAAATCATGAGGCACATCCTAATTTTAAACCTTATTGAAGGCATTCACATGTATGCTGGACATTTGTTGCCTGTCTTTTCTTCACAATCTGTTCCAATACATCTATTTTTAAATATAACTATAAATATAGAAGAGAGATTAATATGTAGCAATAGATTATTTTTTATGCAAAACTAATTTGAAACAAGACAGTAGATAAACAGTGCCTTTAAGAACAGAAGTTCAAGTCGAGTGCGTCCAAACTTCAATTGGTACTTTAAGTACAAATCACTGAACCAGTAATTTCCCCATGATGTATTATTTCAGAGGTGGAATGTGTCTGTTCATCAAAGGTGCATTTGAAATCCTAGAAGTGGAACTAATGATTCAAACTGTTGAGCAGTCACACTCACAAACATTGTAATGATTAATATTACCATCTTTTTTTCTGTGCTTTTTGAGTTTGATGTCTTCCAAGTGTATTTTGACATTCTGACAAAATAATAGGATTTCAAACCGAATGGGAGGCTCTGGGAATGCGTGGAGATTAGATGCTTTCCTGGTTGGTTGAACTATTAGACGGTTTTTAAGAGTTCAAGATACATTTGAAAATGTGCCAAATGCTTAAGATCATCAAATGCTCAGGAAGTTTCCCCTCAAGCTATCACATTAGACCGGGCCTGACAAAACTTACACTGTTGCAAAAACTTTACCCTCTTAATAGTAAGCTTTGAGCCTTATTGAATATACCCGTTTTATTTTGTGTTTTTGTAGTTAAAGGGATAGTTAACATATTAAGGGAAAAAAATAAAGCTTTCAGTCGAGGATTTAGTGAAAGATTCAGTGAAGATCATTTATTCACCCTCATGTCATTCCAAACCCATATTTTTTGTCTTCCCTGGAACACAAAAACAAATGTTTAGCACAAGGTCCAAACTGCCATTCAAAAGTTTTTTTATTCATTTATTTAAAGCAAATAATATCCAGCACCTTCATTCAGCAAGGAAACATTAAAGGGTTAGTTCACCCCAAAATGAAAATTCTGTCATTAATTACTCACCCTCATGTCGTTCAAAACCCGTAAGACCTCCGAAGTTCATCTTCGGAAAACAAATTAAGATATTTTTGATGGAATCTGAGATCTGTCAGACCCTGCATAGACAGCAACGCAACTGTGATGTTCCCAGACAGAAACGTAGCAAGGACATCGGTAAAACAGTCCATGTGACATCAGTGGCTCAACTTCAGTTTTGCAAAGCTACGAGAATACTTTTTGTGCGCAAAGAAAACAAAAATGACGACTTTATTCAACAATTTTTCTCCTCCAAGTTACCGTCTTCCGCCATTTTGACATCAAGCATGGCTCTATTCATCATGAGGAGCGGCTTGGGAATTTTGCTGGAAAATCATATGGTTTTGAACAATAAGAATTTAAATTTTTTTAGTGATCTATTCGTTTAACAAATCAGTCACTTTTTTATATGTGCATAACACTTCTATATGTTACGCTAACATAACGTTTAATTTCCGCCTATCAGCGACAAATCCGTTAACAAACTTTGTCAATCCATTTTACTTTTGCATGTTTCTTCGTGTTGTATTATAATACTACGGTAAGCCTCTTCATTTCTTATCATTCTCTTGTATTTCTCACCCTAGAATCCCTCTATACTGCCCCTCCATTCCATGTGCTGTCGGACACTTTCCTTTCGTCAAACTACAGCGAAAGTTTCCACGTTCCTCTCGTTTACTCCTGTGGTACATCCTGTGATTACACTTCCTCTCCTCCTCCCCTCTTCCCTTCTCTCTCGTTCCTCTGCTCCTTCTTCTTTCTCCTGAGTCAGTTCCCCCTACTATCGTGCAGCTGTACCAGCCCGTGAGGAACCAGGACTGGTGCATCCCTTTCACTGTGACGGGCAACCCGAGGCCTGATCTGCACTGGTACCACGAGGGGAAGCTGCTGGAGGAGCAGCAGTACATCAAGACCGAAATCCATGAAATCACGGATACGGAGTACCACGGCTGTCTGCAGCTGGACATTCCCACTCATATCCATAACGGCATCTACACGCTGGTGGCTAGCAATGAGTTCGGAGAGGACAGGGGAAACGTGTCGGCACACTTCATGCACACACCTGATGAGGACCACTCAGGGACAGGTGGGCTCGGGTTTTCTTGCATCACTCTAAAATGTATGTATTATTTATTATTCTAAATAATAAGGTCTATTAATGTGTAAAAGCAAACATCTGTCATATTTTTGTTTCCACAGAGGGAGTGTTTTATTACGGTACGTTGTCTTGTGAAACAATATTTTGGCGAATTAAACTATGCAAAATTTTAAGTCAGCTGGATGAAACTTTAAAAAGGAAATATTGCCTTAAAAATATCCTCTCAAAATATTTTACCCTAAAATGGAAGCACATTTTCTCACCAAAACCTTCATTACTGTTCTTCATTCTTAATTTTGTACTGAACTCACGAAAATCCTATTTGGATGCAATTATTTATTTTAAATCATTATTGTAAAGTTCAGAACAAGAAATACTATACTATTAATGGTACTTAACACATTTTAAGAAATAGGGCCACAATGCCAAAAAAAGGTATATATGAGGTGACATATGACCTGGAAATTTCTGAATGGTTTTCATAAGATTCACCCAGCTGCTCTTTGTACCCCATTAAAAATATTGTGACGTTTATAGAATGTTATTTATCACTGGATAATCCATTTCCATTTTTATTTCCATTTAAATGATGTAACACAGACACAACATTTAGTCCAGGTAAGTCTATTCATGTACATTACATGTATTTGGCCTTCAGGCTTTTATAGTTTTGAACTGCAATCCTTTAAATAGTGTAATTTGTTTTATCTGCCTTATATTTTTTAAAGATACCCCACCACTGGAGGACAAAGTCGCGGTATGTTTTTGCATAGAGTGATTAAAGGAAAATTTTAGGTTAAATACATCTTAAGCTCTATCAACAACATCTGTGGACTGCTGTTTATTTCTACAGAAAACTATTTTGACCCATCCATCAGTTTGTACTTACACTGAAAGTCAATGGGGCCAGCATTCTAGAGAAGTTGAAGGCAGAAATATGAAGCTGGTACTTTTGTTTAAGCACTTCAGTAAAAATAGTTTATTTGAGCTGTAAAGTTGTCTAAATCGTTTTTGTTGAGGTGAGATTACTTTTCTAGGTGGCTGAATCTTTCCCCATAGACTTTCCTTGTAAGTACACATTCTTTTTGTTTGTTTTTACAAACTGAGAGACTAGACACATTATTTTATGTAGTAATCGACAGCAGGCCGCAGCTACTGTTGACAGAGCTTAACAGATATTCACCAGCAGTATTCTGTTAATCGTTTGATTCATTATTGGACAGTTTCCATTTATGACAGTATTAAAGCAAGTACTGTTAAAGCAAGCAATTTCTATTTGTAAGCGTCTTTCTTTGATGCAGTGTTATTTCTGTAAATTTGTTAGATTTACTGTGCTAAATCAATTCAAACCCACCCCAGACTAGAGACGTGCTTGCTTTAATAAAGTCTACTGTACTTTTTTCAAATTTTAATTTTATATTCTAGGTTTACATAGTGGTTGGAATAGCTGGGGTTGCTTTAACTGGATGTATCCTGATGTTAGTTTTCCTCAAGTATGGCAGAAGCTCCAAGTTTGGCATGAAAGGTAAGTGCACCACTTTAGCTTTTCACTTCTGCTGAATATGTGTTTCGCTAACCCTAACTGAAGATGCAAGTACTTTTGCTAAGCATCGTTTTAGCAAAAGTTTTAGCAGTCTGTCTGCATTTTGATTTGGAACGCCCACGTTTCACAATCGAATCGGTTCCTGTTGGAAATAAAAAATATAAATAAATAAAAAATCCTGGCCTACTTTTTTTTTCTAGTTGAATATCTTGTTTTACTAAGAAATATGTCACATTATGAAAGTAAAGGCAGATAACGTCATCTATTGCTGTAACATATCACATACAAATATAGAATAATATGAATTTGAATATTTTAACAACAATATTAGTTGCACCTTTTAAACAAAAATCATGGTTATTGTTTCCTCTCTTATAGCAATGCACTTTTCAACACGTTTGCATGTATATTAAGAATGTGAATTCCTATTATTTCTATGATTTTTTTTCCCGTCTCTACCAGGCTCTTCATCTGTCATTAGTAATGACGATGACTCTGCCAGCCCCCTCCACCACGTTTCCAATGGCAACAACACACCATCATCATCGGAGATGGGCCCAGATGCCGTTATTATCGGAATGACAAAGATTCCAGTCATTGAGAACCCCCAGTACTTCCGTAACCCCGGCAGCATACTGAAATCGGACACTCGTGAGTTGCCGTGGCATGCTGGGCCGTCAGCGGCCCCACTCCATCCACTGAAATAGATTTCAGCCTAGGTTGCCACTGGTCAGTTGTCATAGTAACCTCCCCTTCTATCACCATGGCGATGATATCAGGGGTGGCTGATGCTGTGCAACTTAATCACTGTTGGACTGTAAATGTATCTGCAAGCTTTTTTTCATTTCAATTCATTTACATTTGAGGATCTAACACAGTTCATCTGTAAATGTTACCAACACCTGATGGACTATTATTGGTGTTTGCTATAGCAAGCATCCTGTACCGTTGCTCATATGTAGGGTTAAGTCAGCATGAAAGCAAAATTGACCCTATTTATTTTCTTATTGCTGGTGTTATTATGAATGATTAATCCATGCATATATATTTTTTGACCTCTAAGCTATATTAAATCAAAATGTCCTAACTTGCCCTTTCTATGATATGACTCACTTCTTTCTACTGATGTATACAAGGGTTTATTATTGTTAACTTAAACGAAAAACTACAACTTAATAAAAACTATATAAACATATTTATATATGTTTCCAAGCATCAAACCTAAATTTTAAAACCTAAAAAGTTATTTGAAACATTAAAGTAGATACTTTACTTTAATATGCTTTCGGTGTATATAAAATCAGTTTTGTACATTTAATTCGATTTTAAGACATCTTGTCTTTGAATCATGTATATATATAACAGAACAAAATTGCTAAAAACTTAATTAAATGAAATTATGAAAACTCTCTTTAAAATTAACATTTAATTTTTAAATTAAAATGAAAACAAAAAAATATTAAAATAAAATCTAATTCAAAAACTATAATTGTATATCAGTAATAGTACAATGACACTGGACCACACTGCAGTTAATCCAAACACATTCAAATGCTCCATTCAAGTATGCAAGCTCACTTTTTCACAATCCGGTCAATCAACGATCACAACTTCTGTTTTTTGCTGACTTTAATGATTGAACAACAACACAACTTATTTTCACCTTGTGGACAATGAAACGGGATAAACAATCTCATAGATGTACATTAAAGGAGGAACCCAAAACTAGAATATTCAGGAGGCAGCTACCTAGAACACCCTAGCAATGGCATTGCAACGTTCAAAAAAAAAAAAAAAAAGCACTCAGTACACATTAGTGACCACAAAATAACACCCTGACTGATGCACACAATGCCCTAGCTTTAGTATGAACAAGCACCACTCAAATGTTTTCTGAATCTTATTTTAACTATGAGCGTTCCTTGTTTTGCAGTCGTCCAACACATAAAGCGTCACAACATTCTGCTAAAGAGGGAGCTTGGAGAAGGGGCTTTTGGGAAAGTGTTCTTGGCTGAATGTTACAACTTGTCTCCTGACCAAGAGAAGATTTTGGTGGCTGTTAAGGTATGGTGCATTTACACAACAAAACATTCATCAAAATTGCGCAAGTAAAATGGATTGTGAACATTTTAAGTTTTGGCTACAAAATGAGACTTTACAGTAGGTATTTCTGTAATAAGAGATCATACTTTTTTATCTCGCAGACTCTGAAAGAAGCCAGCGAAAGTGGGCGAGCAGACTTCCACCGAGAGGCAGAGCTCCTGACCAACCTGCAGCATGAGCACATTGTCAAGTTTTATGGCGTGTGTGTAGAATGCGACCCTCTCATTATGGTGTTTGAGTATATGAAACATGGAGACCTCAACAGATTTCTCAGGTTTGCAGGAGAGCGTTTATCACAACCTCCTTTACAATTTTGAAACATTGCTGTTTAAGGCAAGTTCTGGGTTAAATACGCCCAGATAGTTCACTCCAAACCAAGAATGATAATTTACCCTCATGTCTTTCCAAACCTGCATGACTTTTGTCCTTACTGTGCAAGTTAGTGGGGTCTAAAATTGTGATGATGATTGTCACACTTTTAGCTATACTTTTTAAATGCTAAGCAAAATGTGTTTGTGTGTCGTCCACTTTCTGATGTCCAACAATGTTCAGTTTCACACATGCTATTCCCATACTCTCTCTTACAGGGCTCATGGTCCAGACGCGGTGCTGATGGCAGACGGACAGCACAGTTTGCTGGTGGAGTTAACTCAGCCTCAGATGCTGCACATTGCTCAGCAGATAGCAGCAGGCATGGTGTATCTGGCCTCACAGCATTTTGTGCACAGAGACCTGGCCACACGCAACTGCCTGGTGGGAGAGAACCTGCTTGTCAAGATAGGAGCCTTCGGCATGTCCAGAGATGTAACATTTTAAGTTTTGGCTACAAAATGAGACTTTACAGTAGGTATTTCTGTAATAAGAGATCATACTTTTTTATCTCGCAGACTCTGAAAGAAGCCAGCGAAAGTGGGCGAGCAGACTTCCACCGAGAGGCAGAGCTCCTGACCAACCTGCAGCATGAGCACATTGTCAAGTTTTATGGCGTGTGTGTAGAATGCGACCCTCTCATTATGGTGTTTGAGTATATGAAACATGGAGACCTCAACAGATTTCTCAGGTTTGCAGGAGAGCGTTTATCACAACCTCCTTTACAATTTTGAAACATTGCTGTTTAAGGCAAGTTCTGGGTTAAATACGCCCAGATAGTTCACTCCAAACCAAGAATGATAATTTACCCTCATGTCTTTCCAAACCTGCATGACTTTTGTCCTTACTGTGCAAGTTAGTGGGGTCTAAAATTGTCATGATGATTGTCACACTTTTAGCTATACTTTTTAAATGCTAAGCAAAATGTGTTTGTGTCGTCCACTTTCTGATGTCCAACAATGTTCAGTTTCACACATGCTATTCCCATACTCTCTCTTACAGGGCTCATGGTCCAGACGCGGTGCTGATGGCAGACGGACAGCACAGTTTGCTGGTGGAGTTAACTCAGCCTCAGATGCTGCACATTGCTCAGCAGATAGCAGCAGGCATGGTGTATCTGGCCTCACAGCATTTTGTGCACAGAGACCTGGCCACACGCAACTGCCTGGTGGGAGAGAACCTGCTTGTCAAGATAGGAGACTTCGGCATGTCCAGAGATGTGTACAGCACCGACTACTATAGGGTAAGTGTTGGTCACCTTGGAAATGTCCATATCACAGTGGTCTTTTTGGTTTGAGGAACTCAAAATCTACTACAAATGTCTTGTTTAATTTGAAATCTGAAGGCATAACTACATTGATACATGATTTTGTTAAAATTATATATCATACAGTAATGAAACTCATATAATATGAAATATAGATGGTAAACTTCTTTAAACAAACATTGCGACAACATTACCCACCATATGCATTGAGGAGACAGATTATTGACCAATATGAGTATTTCAACGGTTGGTTCTTAAAGGGGTCATCCGATGCTACATGCACTTTAGCAAATAGTTTGAACTGAAATGTGTGTTGGCAGTGTGTGTACACAACCACCCTATAATGATAAAAATCCACCCAGTGTTTTTTTTTTAATCTACTAAAATCTTTACCCCTTTCTCAAATCAAGCTGATCTCAGATGCCTGTCTGTGTGACATCACACAGACAGGCCCCTCCCACGATAGTTTGATTGACAGCAGCGTTTCAGCACAGACTGGACTAGCGTCTTACCTTACGCCCGCCCTGAGTGATCTGTCATCAATCCGCCAGTGTTTCACCACCGGAGCAGATGTAATGTGTGTTGGCAGTGTGTGTACACAACCACCCTATAATGATAAAAATCCACCCAGTGTTTTTTTTTTAATCTACTAAAATCTTTACCCCTTTCTCAAATCAAGCTGATCTCAGATGCCTGTCTGTGTGACATCACACAGACAGGCCCCTCCCACAATAGTTTGATTGACAGCAGCGTTTCAGCACAGACTGGACTAGCGTCTTACCTTAGACCCGCCCTGAGTGATCTGTCATCAATTCGCCAGTGTTTCACCACCGGAGCAGATGTAAGAATGACTCTTAAGCGACTGAGGTGTTCTGTTGTTGGATGTAATAATGAACATAGCAGTCGTCATTTACTCCCGACATCTGAGCCGCTGAAGATGCAGTGGATTACGTTTGTTTCTGAAGGGAATGCGCCCCGATCTACATAAATGTGTTTATGTTCACGCAAATTATTCGTGATCCAGCTTCACCTACAGAAGAAGCGAGTATAAGGTTTTTTAATGAATCTTTGCAAATCCTAATGTGACGGCCAAGTATGGTAAACCATGCATTTATCCCATCCAAAGTGCTCACACACAGCAGTGAACACACACACACCGTGAACACACACCCGGAGCAGTGGGCAGCCATTTTTTGCTGCGGCTGCCCGGGGAGCAGTTGGGGGTTCGGTGCCTTGCTCAAGGGCACCTCAGTCGTGGTATTGAAGGTGGGAGAGAGCACTGTACATTCACTCCCCCCACCTGCAATCCCTGCCGGTACGAGACTCGAACCTGCAACCTTTGGGTTACGAGTCTGACTCTCTAACCATTAGGCCACGACCTCCCCTAATAATGTGCTAATTAGCAAGTTTCACGATGAATGCGGCTAAAGTAAACAGTCTCTCTGAGAGCAGCTCGGAAGAGAGGGACGGGGTCAGCAGTGCTCATTAGCATTTAAAGGAAGATGCTACAAAACGGCTTGATCTGAAAAGAGCTGTTTTTGACATGGTAAAAAAAGGTGTTTTTACACTACCATTGAGAAATTTTAACCAAACTATGTTACAGACTTTCCATTAAGACCCTAAAGAATTATATCAACTTGTGGAAAATGGGCATCGGATGACCCCTTTAAATTGTTGCATTTGTACATAACATCTACAAAATCCTGAATATGTGTTTACAGCTTAGATTCAAAGTAAAATAATTTCATACATTCAGTAGAGGCACTGAAATGCATTTATTGCATGTTTGCTTATCCATCTGAATATTAACCATTCTCTTTCAGTAAATTAAAATATATTGATTAAAGTTTTGCTTCAATTAACTGTTACAGCAAAAAAGCTGCTGTTTGTGATGTTACATTACTTAGTAAGCAGTATTTTACTTCGGTGTGACACCAAACAGAACTGCAAAAGGAAAGACTGTTTTCTAAGAAAACTTTTGTTTGAGATACTGTTGCAAAGTCGTGCAGCTAAATAAACATATTGCAATTGCATTTGTTGCCACTAATAGCACAAATAGATACACACTACAGCTGTTAGTGTTCAGAATCAAATTAGAAAAGATTACAGATATGTATGATATATTTTCACTGGTTGCTCAAACCAAGCCACTGAAGAGGGTGAACACTCTCTGGGAAACCACTTAAAAATAATCCACAGGCCCATGTCAGATTCTTGCCTGAACATTCACACTCTTCAGGAGGAAATGGCATTAGACTCAAAACTTGACATGCTTAATCTAAGGTCAATTCTGTCTTGGGTCATTTCCTGATCTGAGCCTCTCTCTTCTGTTTCCTGACTTTTTTCCTGATTCATAAAAGCAAAAGGTAGTTTGTTTATGTCCATAATGGATAATATAACTGATATACTGTTATTTTGTCTTTTGTTATTATGGTTTAGTATGACTATTTAAATGTATGCATCTGAACAGCTGATTAAATACTGTAAATTTGAAAGTGCCTCAAAAACCAACAGTTCCCCACAGTGAGTCCTTCCAGAAAAAGCCCAGACCATCTGACACTCAAGGGCTCTCCCGAACCTGCATGCTGCCAACACAGCCGGAAACACTCTGTCAGCAGAGTGTGTGTGAGAGAGAGAGAGAGAGAGAGAGAGAGAGAGAGAGAAAGAAAGAGAGAGAGTGTAATGAAGGAATATCAGCTCCCTCTGCCGTATAGCAATAGAAAAAAGAAACAGGATTTTGTCATTGTATGATCAACCTGACACTCAAGGGCTCTCCCGAACCTGCATGCTGCCAACACAGCCGGAAACACTCTGTCAGCAGAGTGTGTATGTGTGTGTGAGAGAGAGAGAGAGAGAGAGAGAGAAAGAGAGAAATGAAGGAATATCAGCTCCCTCTGCCGTATTGCAATAGAAAAAAAAACAGGATTTTGTCATTGTATGATCAACTGGAATCCTGCAATGCAATTTCAGGTGATGAGTTCAAAGTTTTGCAATAAACTAGGTACTGTGGCAAAACACTGCAGTAGTTTTGCGCACCATTTCATGCTGTAAAGGACCCATATGCTCAATCTGAGGTCCCATTTATACAAGATTGATACACTGATTTTCAGTATCACAATTACTATTCTACTGGTCTTGAATAGGTGGAAAGTTCATTGTGCTATCTAATAAACTGTAGAGCAGAGCATTTTGCTGGATGCACAGAAAATTTCCATATTCTATCTCTTCTGAAGCCATACAGAAGCTTTGTGTAAGAAAGACCCAGATTAATGGAAAATCATCCCCTCCTCAATCTCATTTACACTTCTGCACATTCAGTTCTGCTGCAAGAACCAATGGCATCTGGCACTTAAGATGTGTGATAGAGGGGAAGATTAACAGTGAATTCTTTCTATTTCTTGCAAAGCTATTCAATGGCTTCAGAAGACTTTGTTTGAAACAACACAAGGGTGATTGCATATGGCAGTTTTTCTTTTTGGGAAATATTCTGGTTGTACTTAATTTTATAGTATGTGTGTAAAGTAACTAACTGTTCAAAACATTGGGTTGGTAAGATAGTTTGATGTATTTGAAAGTTTTTATGCTCACAAGGCTGCATTTCTTTAATCAAAAATACAGTAAAACAGTAATATTGTGAAATATGAATGGAAAATCATCCCCTCCTCAATCTCATTTACACTTCTGCACATTCAGTTCTGCTGCAAGAACCAATGGCATCTGGCACTTAAGATGTGTGATAGAGGGGAAGATTAACAGTGAATTCTTTCTATTTCTTGCAAAGCTATTCAATGGCTTCAGAAGACTTTGTTTGAAACAACACAAGGGTGATTGCATATGGCAGTTTTTCTTTTTGGGAAATATTCTGGTTGTACTTAATTTTATAGTATGTGTGTGAAGTAACTAACTGTTCAAAACATTGGGTTGGTAAGATAGTTTGATGTATTTGAAAGTTTTTATGCTCACCAAGGCTGCATTTCTTTAATCAAAAATACAGTAAAACAGTAATATTGTGAAATATTATTACAACTGTTTGCTATTTTAATATATTTCAAGATGCAGTTTATCCCTGTGATGCAAAGCTGAATTTTCAGCAGCCATCAGTCCAGTCTTCAGTGTCACATGATCCGTCACAAATCAGTCTAATATGCTGAGTCCCAGTTGTGCTGCATAATATTTTTGAGACTTTTTTTTTTTTTGGATTGTTTAGGCCAATTAAAACTATACAATGCTGCAGTTTGCCAGTGCTGGATCTGCGTTTGTTGGGTCTTGTACTGTAATCTGGACATTAGTTGGTGTCTCTTGTGGAGCGAATTAGCCTTTAGATAAATAGAAAGTTCAAAAGAACACCATTTTTTTTTTTTAAATAATTTTGTGTTACATTTTATATTTCTTTACTGTACATTTTGATACATTTTTGCTGCATCCTTGCTGAATAATAATAAAAAATTGTATAGATTGTACAAGTACTACCAATATTCCTTTAGTGTGCAAAATAATACTGTTTGAAAAATGAATGCCTGTTATCAGTGTATTAATAGATGCTGATGAAGGAACATTGCAACACTGTAGTATACCTTATAAAAGAATGAGGGATGCACCGATATTAAAAATCTAGCTCAAAACCGACAAGTCAATAATTATTTTCATATTATGACCAGTAAATGACCAGTATTATACTATACTATCTACATATACTAAATTCAAAATAGAACACAAAAAACTAAAAATAAAAACTGATGTACAGTATGAAAAATGCATTCATTTTTACATTTGTAAAAAAGAAAAAAAAAAGATTATATGTAACGTTATTAAATCAGTGTTTTTAAAAATGGTAACACTACAATAAGCTTCATTAGTTAACTTCTTTAGTTAACATGAACTAAGAATGAACAATACTTCTACAGCATTTATTCATTTTAGTTGATGTTAATTTCAACATTTACTAATGCATTATTAAAATAATAATGCAATAAAAAAATCAAAAGTTGTGCTTGTTAACATTAGTTAATGCACTGTGAATTAACATGAATTAATAATATAAGACTGTATTTTCATTAACTGACATTAACAAAGATTAATAAATACTTTAATAAATGTGTTGTTCATTGTATGTTCGTGTTAGTTAATACATTAACTAATGGAACCTAATTGTAAAGTGTTACTGTATTAATAATATTAGTATTAATTAATATTACGGTACTAATATATCATCCATCCCTAAAAAGTATTAAGTTTACTTTGCGCATTATGGAGACTCTAAAATGGTAGGAACTGAAATGGTAGAAGATGGATTTAATAAGTGCATGTGCTTCTACCAACAATCACTGTTTATCTGTATCTCTTATCTCAGGTGGGTGGTCACACCATGTTGCCCATCCGCTGGATGCCCCCAGAGAGCATCATGTACAGGAGATTCACCACAGAGAGTGACGTGTGGAGTTTGGGTGTGGTCCTTTGGGAAATATTCACATATGGCAAGCAACCCTGGTACCAGCTCTCAAACAACGAGGTAAGACTCATCAGACCAATCATAACCAATTTTTACCTTGTAAAAATGTCTCTTTCTAGGCAGACTGATGCACCCTTAGTGTTCAGTTGACATTCTGGACTGTGTTTCTGCTGCCTGCTGCAGGTGATCGAGTGTATCACACAGGGTCGGGTGTTGCAGAGACCTCGTACTTGCCCCAAAGAGGTGTATGACCTGATGCTGGGCTGCTGGCAGAGGGAGCCCTACATGAGACTCAACATCAAAGAAATCCACAACCTGCTCCAGAGCCTGGCCAAGGCCTCGCCTGTTTACTTGGACATCCTGGGCTGATCCGTTTGCCAGTATGGGTGTGTAATTGTTAGCAAGAAAAAGTGTGTGAATGCGTGGTATAAAAGGGATGGTTTCGATTAGAATGAGTGATTGAATATAGATGTGTGTGTTCATTAAAAATGGCTTGTGCTTCAGCCTTCTCACCACATAGACTAAAGGCCTTAAAGTTGACTGTGTGCATTGCTTTGAGTTTTTCCACATCTGGACATGTCCATATCTGTCAAGCATCATTGTGTTTTCTAAAAACCCCAAATGGTCTACAAACAGAAACATCTGATTGTTGTAAATATGCGTCAGAGACAATGTAGACCTTTTGTTTAACAACCTTTTAGAAAAAGGTCATTTGGTTTAGGAAAGTTTATATTTGTTTTTCTTTTACCATTTATTTAACGAGATGGACAGAATTCGGACTTGATGAGGACCTAGTCATTAGCACAACGCTGTCAAAGCCCTGGCGACATTCTGGCAGACTTTACGCAAATCGCAATACTATTTATACCGCAAACTATCGAGTAACAATCATGGAACTGCCAGAATCATGTTTCCTTTTTTTTTTTTTTTTTAACACATCTGATCTAATTTTAGATTAATCTGTGCCAAGTTTTGATGTCTAATGCTGAGGTTGATGAAAGGCGTTTTTGGACATCTCAGTGCACCCCATCTTACTCAGTGCGAACTTTGTAATAGAAGTACAGCGACAAGACTTTTTTTTCTTTCTTCGGAAGAGGCTTGAGGTTGGACACCGAGTGTTTGGAGTGAGCACAGAGGCAAAGTCACCAGCAGTGGCATTGAAATATTTCCTCAGACACTGTTTGGCTCCCGGGCCATATGCGCTGAAGTTCTGATTCAAAGGGCACTTGTCTCTCTAACTGAGGTTCGAAGAACAATGAGAGAGATGTTGTTCTTGTGTCCATCAGTGGTAACACGTTAGGGTGCTTACACACTAGAAAACACTCTGACCGGACGCTTGATGAATTGAATTATGCAAGAGGGTGTGGAAAGAGCCAGACTGCATAATTCATCCAGGATATTTTCCTGCCTGAGGCCCGAGAGGCTGCGATAGTTTCCAGGATCCCTACGACTCTATATCGGATTATGGAGGGATGGATGGATGGATGGAAAGAGCCAGGACTGTTTGAAATAAAGCAGAAATACAACCAATTGGATTTCTGAAAGCACAACTGGACCCACCTCCCTGGGATTCTCAGTAGTCAACAGAGTGCATTCCAGCCAAAGTACAAATTCCCTCCACTTTTGGTCACATAACGGAGCATCAGAATCGACAAATTCCCAGCATTCTTTGACATAGCGTAAACTAGTATGTAGGCACCCTTAATAGTTGTCATGTTGCAATTTGATGGACTTTGCCTTTGCAAAGACTGAAGATTTCTTTCTTACCTGTTCCTGGGAAGTATATCCATAGATGTTGTCCATAACACAACAGGCCTGCCTGAACAGCTGGATTTCATTTGATCTCGGATTATTCATTATTATCTGTTTATGTATCAACTGCGAAATAACTGCTAAATAATTTGTGTATGTGATAATCTATGATCGGTTTGTTTTGCTGTATTGTGGGCCGTTTCAAAGCGATGGGCTTGGTGGGCACTGAAGTGAATGTTCATGTGAGAATGACTCGAGTCGGACTGTCCCTGAGGTCACAACAGGAAGACCCTATGAAGGGACAGTCCCGATTCAACCTGTGTGTTTCAACCCCGCCAGACAAGTAACCAGAGGACGACTGCCAACCAACAGGGTTTATTTAGACTACAAATGACTGAATGGCAACTGAAATTGTCATTTTCATATGACATTGTATTCAGACCCCTTCGTTTTTTCACGTTTTGCCGTAGCCTTATGCTAAAATGTGTTTTCAGTCTACTCTCCGTACGCCATAACGACAAAGCAAAAACATCTGTGAAACCTGCTAATTTATATAAAAAAAGAATAATATTATAATATATATATCACAATGACTTAAGTATTCAGAACTTTAACTCAATGCTTAGTTGAAGCACCTTTGGCAGCAATTTCTTCAGGTTATTTTGGGTATATTGCGGCAAGCTTTGCGTCCTGATTTGGGGATTTTCTGCCATTCTTCTCTGCAGATCCTTAAAATGTCGGGTTGAATAAGTACTATTGGTGGACAGAGATTTTTTTTGTTGGGGTAGTAAAAGTCTGAACTCTGGCTTGGTCACTCGAGGATATTCGTAGTCGTCCCAAAACTACTCTTGCATTAGCTTGGCTGTGCTTAGAGTCACTGGACCAGTCTCGAGGTCTGGAGTGCTTTGGACCAGGTTTTCATTAAGGATATCTCTGTATTCAGTTTTCCTTCCAGCCTGATCCTAAGTACCCCAGTCCATGCTGCTGAAAAACACCTCCACTGCTTCACTGTTGGGATGGTATTGCGCAAGTAATGAGAGGTGCTTGGATTCCTCCAGACATGACACATGGAATAAGGCTCACCAGACCAGAGAATCTTCTTTCTCACAGTCTGAGAGTCCTTTTTTTGGCAGATCTAAGCTTTCATGTGTCTTGGACTTAGGAGAGGCTTCCATCTGTGCTTTGTAGGCAGTTCCTTTGCCCTTACGGCTTAGTTTTTGCCCTGATTTGAATTTTAATAAAGTAAAAATAAAGGTGCTTCACGATGCCATAGAAGAACCTTTTTGTCTAAATTGTTCCACAAAGAACCTTTAACATCTGAAGAACCTTTCTGTTTCACAAAAGGTTCTTTGTGGCAAAAGAAGGTTCTTCAGATTATAAAAAGCTAAGAAAGAGATGGTTCTTTAAAGAACCTTTGACTGAATGGTTCTTTGTGGAACCAAAAATGGGTTTTCTATGGCATCGCTTGAAGAACCTTTTGAAGCACCTTTATTTTTAAGAGTTTATAGACAGGTGTGCGCATTTCCAATTAATGTCCAATCAGTTTAATTTGCCACAGGTGGATTCCAGTCAAAGTGTAGATACAGCTCAATGATGACACAAAGAAATAGAATGCAACCTGAGCTTAACAAAGAATATGAATACTTAAGTCGATGTAATATTTTTTGCAAAGTTCTCAAATTTGGTTTTTGCGTTATCATTTTGGGGCAAGGCCGCCACAAGCGGGGTGCAGCATGTAGTCTGCTTTCGTCTTTCAAACTAGGACTGCAGATATACAAAAACAAAGTAAACAAAGCAGCGCTTGCTTACCGTTTTGAATATGAATCCTGTTCATCGGTCTTCTCTTTCTTCATTCCAGATGGCCACGTCGTTATGAAAGCGCAAGGCCCTAAGACACTTTGCACAACCCATGTGACGCTTCTGTTATGTGGTAGGGAGTTTAGATTGACGTGAAAAAGCATTTTAGTATAAAGCTGAGGTCACATTTAGCGTTCTGCAAATCCACTCATTTCAATAGGAATTTTGCGTGATTTCTCAATGCAGATTTCGCAACGAGTTTGAGCTGCTTTGGTTTGAAAGGGACTGCTGTGCTTCATACATCGCTACACAATTGAGCATGGGCCATTTTTGCGCTGAAACTAAAAAATGAAAACGTCTGAATACTTTCTGAATCCATCGTAATTATTTCCTTAGTGAAGTTTGCCAAGATAAGCATCAGAAATACTGTCTTTTATACTTAGGGCTTACTTGAATATTACACGCAGTACATATTCGATTCAGCTGAATCTGTAAAACCAGACCGGTCAAAAGTCCCTTAACCCGACTATCATTACTGTTGACGAAATCCAGGGCTACAGTATTCGACTTGTCCTCCTCTGCAAGAGTAATGTTTTTTCTCAATTCAAGCCGACTTACTGATTCTTCAGGATGTGAAGTACCGGAGATGTGTTGCTTTGAATGTGTCTGTATATATGCAATTAGACTGTAAATATTCATGAGCAGGATCAATCATTCTTTGTACACTGATGTCAAATTCTTTCCAAACAGTACATTGGCAGGACCTACTTTTAACACCCGACATCACGAGTTGTCGGACAGCGTCCAATCAAGTCAAGTGTCGGCCATTACGGTCATGATCTTTTGAGCAGTGACTTGTGACCTCTTAGAGCTTTGCACTTTCTTTATAGATGTACTGCTCATATTTTTGTAGTTTTCACCCTACAATTGTAAGCACTGCAAAAAAAGAAACAAAGGAAAAAGAAAATGCACTGAAAGAGGTTATTTACATTGAAGGGGATTATTTGCTAATATTAAAAGATATCGAAGAAATGTATTCAGTCAGTTACGCTAAACAATTTTTCTTGTGTTGTGGCAGACTGACTATGTGAAGACTTTATTGTACAAACATGGCATTTTCTTCATTTGTTTTTTTGCTATACAGATTTCTGTGTGTTCTAATAGCCAGCCTGTACTTTATAATCCATTCTGTACAGTTCTAATAGATGTCTATATAAATAGTATGTTCTCTCTATATATTCTGTTTCAAACAGGCATCATGTCAAATGTGTGACATTATAAAGGGAAGAAAAACACATCTAATGGGCCTCTGGCAATATGTGAGTGTAAATACAGTTTATTTTGCGTGACAATGTATAAGTTATTTTTCCTGTGGTTGTTCATATTAAAAATATGATTCGATTTTTTTTATATATATATAATATCTGTAATTGATCAACTAGCCCTTTCCCCTGTGTAGTAAACAATTTAATGTTACTGACGCTTACTGCGCCCCCTTTTTTTTTTTTACTGAGTGTTGATTCACGTTCAGGGGGAAAGAGCCAAGAGAACCCCCATCCTCGTTTGATTTCTGGAAAGCTCTTAACATTGTATATGAATGAAGAACTGTGACTGAGTACTGGAACACTGTTTATGCATTATTTTGTAAGTCAAGATTTTATGCTCTGCTGGGTGAATCTCACTTAGTGTCGAGAAATGTCCTGGTCAGCCCAAAATCAAAAAAGAGAAAGTATACATGAAAAGAAAATAAGCCTATTTAAGGTCTTTTTTTTTTTGATTTTGGAATGAAATATAACCTGGACATTTCTTTGTGAAACACACCCGTTTAGGCAACTGGAATTTGACATTTATGTTCCTCTTTAATTTGTTTAGCTGTATCACTGGTTGTGAGTGAATGTGTGTGTGTGTGTGTGTGTGTGTGTCTCCCGGCAGACTCAATCTCTCACAGCTTTAGGTGTCAGTACTTTATGCTTGTGCATCCTGTGAGAAGCTTCTCTGCAGTCAGTGGAAATGTTCCTTGTAATACTGTGCATTTAATAAAAGTGGTATGTCTTACAACATTGTTCAGAATGTTGCAAATTATATTCATAACTTTAAAAGTGAACCAAAGAAACACACACACACACACACACACACACACACATATGTGTGTGTATATATATATATATATATATATATATATATATAGTTTGTTTATAGAGTAGCTAAAAAGTGAACAGTTATCTGTTATGTGCTTAGGGCTATTTTGTGTTTTATGTTGTGTTTATATATATATATATATATAGATGGGTGGGCTACTTAAATTGTACAAGACAAAAATCGTAGTTAGTAACGTAATCCATTACATTACACATTTTAATTTATATAATCAGACTACTTTTAAATAACTTCTGACCTAACTCGTTTGTCATATATACTCCATTTGTTATTGACAACATAAAGTGCATTAAACATTACATTACGTTAAGGTTCCCCAAACTTCGGTTTGTGAAGGAACTGCAGGGGGTTCGTGAATTTAATGAAAAGCAAATAATTAAATCATAAACATTTGATATGAAAATAAATTATTTTAAAATTAAAATAAAACACTTACTAAAAAATATTAAAATATATTTTATTAGTTTGTGTCCATTAACCAATGTCAGAGAACCGTGAACATGCAAATGTGTTACTTATTAACTTATTACTTTAAAATTTCAGGGGTACTTGAAATATTAGGTGAAAGAGGTTCAGATGACAAATAACGTGAATTTGTGCATTTTAATGTGTCTAAAAGACAAAAGCCTTCCAAAGACATAGTAATACATGGTTAAATAACCTATGAAAAAATGTGTTCATCAGTAGTTGATGCAATGCTGAAATGTTGAGAAAACTTAAAATTAAAAAGATTTTGCTGCGTTGCCTCTTAATTACAGCCACCTGAACATTGACTGGTCTTTGTGTGAATATCCACAACTGGAAAACTTTCTGAAAACATTAAAAAAAAAAAAGAATTAGGGAGAATCAATAAATGTATTAATATATTAATCAATTAATTTATTGCTTTTGTGTGAATAATATGTAATCATGTAATCAATAAAAAAGTAACTCTGCTCTGATTCTGAGTATTTTAAAATGTAATTTAATCTAATTACAAGTACTTAATTTTTGTAATCTGATTACTTAATCCAGATTACATAGAATCAGTTACTACCCAGCTCTGTGTGTGTGTGTCTATATATATATATATATATATATATATTTACACACACAGTATATATAACACATATAACAGTTTGGAGGCAGTAACTTTGAAAGGCTGCATTTATTTGATCAAAAATACAGTAAAAATACAATTGTAAAATCTAATTTAAAATAACTGTTTTCTATTTTAATGTTTAAAAATATATTAATGTGATGGCAAAGCTGAATTTTCAGTAGCCATAACTTCAGTCTTCAGTCTCACATGATTTTGCAGAAGTTTTTACTGTCTTCTTGTTTTGATCAATTGAATGCATCCTTGTTGTATGAAAGTATTAGCTTCTTTTTAAATAAATACAATTTACTATAAGATCACTGACCCTAAACTGTAGTATATAGTGTATACATACATACATATACATATTTAGGTTTTTGGTACATTTAAACGACAAATATTAATCCTCCTATTTACTACCGGTACTTTTACGAACTTGAGCCAAGCTCATTTTTCTCCATTCTATTTTGATGACAGTGAAGGAAGGATTTGTATCATGTAGTTGCTCACAAAGGGTTATTTTGGTAGAAAGGCCACTTTACGTAAGGCATGAAAGGCATCCCAAGGCTAATATTTAGGTCTAACAATAGCCGGTGACAGGGCCAGCTGCTCCAAACTGAGGCATAATTCTCAGACAATCCAGAGTAGTTGGGACAAAAATGTATTGTGGTGAAGCGCCCATGCCTTGCAGGTAAAATAGCATCAGGTATCTTGAGGCTTGAGGGCTGAAGTACTAGCTGTGTTCATGATATAGCCTGTGATGGACACACAGCTGACAAGTCAAGAAGTATTTTTTGTCTTAAAGCAGCAGCTTAATACTACACTCTAAAAAAAAATGCTGGGTTATTTCAACCCAACTTTGGGTCAAATATGGACTAACCCAACCGTTGGGTTCAATTTTGACATTACATTTTTAACCCAAAAGTTGGGTTAGTCCAAATTTGACCCAAAGTTGGGTTGAAATAACCCAGCATTTTTTAGAGTGTATAAAGGGACTTGAATAAAGTTGACTTGCCTTTATAAGGATTACAGGTGGAGTATGATTTATTTATTTTTTTACAATAAAGCAGTAGTTCAGCCAAAGGCGAAACTTTGCTGAAAATGTACTCAACCTCATGGCATCCAAGATGTAAATGAGTTTGTTTCTTCACTGGAACAGATTTGGAGAAATGTAGCATTACATGACTTGCTCACCAGTGGATCCTCTGCAGTGAATGGGTGCCGTCAGAATCAGAGC